TTCTGGGACAAAGCACTGAAGGCCTCATTAACTGAGAACACATACTGGTGACAGGTACAGCCCGGGGTACTGAAAAACCTCACAGTGGAGTTTCCCCTTCTGCCACAAACCTCAACAGGCTGTGCAACACCACACGGCAGTACGTTTCCCAGACCCAGAAGCCACACAAATTCTCAGTGTTAAAGGGCATCTACGTGCAGCCACATACTGAAGCGGAGCAGACAGCTGGCTTCTAAGCAAGCAAACATTTCCATAGCTGCTACAGTTACCTTACTGCCAGGGGAAGGAAAAGCAAGAGGAAGGCTGAATCCACATTGCTGATCTCCTCTAGATGGTGGAAAATATTGTCAAGTTTTTCTAAGAAAACACTGAGTGACAGCCTCGGTCAGACATGAGAAAGATCTCTCGCTGCAGACCGTTCAGAGCTTCCACTCAGCACTTTCCTGAGCATCACATTTGGCTTTTTCATTGGTGAAGCAAGTCCTGCCACCCCTCTGAGGTTGTCCTGGCAAACACCTGCAAGGAAAACTTTGATGCAGAAAAAACTGAGATGCTCTCACAAAATGGCTACTTCCAAAACACGTCGTCATTCACAAGCCCCACTTTTTTTTTTTAAACTATGTGTAATCTGTATGAAACTTGGCCTTGTGAGGTACCAGCAGTGTCATCAACAATGGTAAGTCACAGAACATGCCATGTCTAAAGCCAAAATAAAAACAAATTTCATCTTATCAGAAATTGGAACATTTCCTTATAATTTTTCTACAAACGACAATATTTTGCTGTTAATATGCAGAGCGCAAGGTCTCCTTAGAGGGAAAACAATACAGCATTGCTGTTGAGACCTGCTCAGTGTGATTAATACCTTTACTAAACAAATAAAATTACCAGCTGCAGTACGTAGAAACACTTTACTTTTTTACCCTTCCTATAGTTAGGCCCAGCTGCTACTACGACAGCGAACTTTGAAGTGCACACAAGAAGTAAAAAGCCCAGAGAAGAGTCTTTCAGTGCAACGTGGTGCGAAGGGAAACTACTCCGCACCACAGCCACCTGAGAACACAAACATCAGACCGGATATCAATTATTCCATCTCTTCATTTCTTGCTTCCAAATTCTGTGTACTTCAAGCTCATCACTCTATGATAGATTTAATCCTTGGCGTTTCCATAAAATACAAATCCCTCATCCATCGGCTCTTGTGAGATGAACAGCATATGACAGAAGGAGAATAAAATTATTATTCGGGACCCTAAGTCACATCCATGCTCAGATACTACAAGAAAAGCCAAGTTATTTAAAAGAACTTCCTTTATCTAAAATGATCTCTTCTTCCAACTCTAGTCACCTGACGATACGATCTCAAAATAATCCTAGTCCTTTACTACCCCTACTACATCTCCAAAACATTTTTACTTGGCAGATTGACTTTGTGTGAACAGAGCGAGACCTGCATGCACAAAGAACCAGCATTCCTTGCTAAGATGCATCTTCATGTTTTTCCCCTAGACTTCCTCGGCCTACTTGAAATTGAAACTTTTGCTCAAAGGCTCACAGACAGTTCCTGACAGCTGATTAGACTTGAATGATCTACGTTGGAAAAGATGGGCAATGAGAATAGCAATTATATTCTGTACATAAGAACTGCAATATACTCAGGGGAGCAAACACCAGTTAATGAACAAGGACAGAAGTGACCGTAACTAACGCAATATTACATAGAGTACAATCCCTAGGATGGTTACTGTCACAGAGCCAATGCCATCATGTGAAACAAGTTCCCAGAAGAAATGGATCTGTCTAGATCCTAGATTTACCCAGGATCTGCCTACATCCTGGGTAAATTGCAGGTATAGATTCTGGTAACAAATTACCAAATTCTGAATTGTCACAAAACCTGAACAGACTTAGAGATTTGTTTAAGACATTGCGAACTATCTTTTAGGATAGATACACTACAAAGAGATCAGAAATGGCAAAATATCCTTCCAAACCTACTGTACCTGGAACTTCAATGCTCCGTATTTCCTAAATCCTGCAGCCTGTTGCTCACAACGAGGGCCTCAAGGTAAGAAGCAAGTAGAAAAGCCTCAGCAGTTACTTGGCTGGCCAACTTGAAGAGCAACCTGAGGCCCTGCTGATGAGGGGCTGGGGGAATGTGCTTGGTTGTGCGCTGTCTCTTGGCTCTCCAACGCCAGCCTATCCTCGCTGAGCCAAGGTAAGGCTCCAAGCAGTCCTGTAGTATCTGGAACTGCCTTTGCAGCCAGCAAAGAGCTAGTTCTCCAAAGAAGGGATCCGTACTGATCCTAGTGTTACCTTTTCCTCCGCAGCAATATGCCCAGTCTTGTCAGTTTGCTGTCAACAGCTCTTCAGCAGCAGTTCAGGAGCATTAGAAGCACTTCTTTCAGCTGAGCCATAATGGCGGCTGCTCAAGTCCACAAAAAAGATTTCATGATTAAAAGAAACTCAAGTACTTCATTATAGCTTGTAGTCAGAGTACATTATCCCTTTAATTATTTGTTATTTCGTCATCTGTGCCTTTTTACAAAGCCAGCTAGATATAACACATTTAAGTAAGGCTCAGCTTCATCCTTCATCTCCTGCCTACCTGGAAATCATTCTGATGAAACCTTAGTTGGCCTAAAGCACAATCATCTTCACGTGACAGAGGCAGAGATGAAGTAAGGTACCACTACAATCGCCTCACTTTGTGGGGAAAAAAACTCTGCCTGGGAAAACAGTCTTCATACTGCATGGGGACTGCCTGCCTGCTCAAAGAGTTGCCTTTGGTGAACAGCGAAGAAGCAGAAACAGGTGCTTCAACTGCCAAAAGGAGGTCCTTACATGGTCCTAACTCTGCCTGAGGAAGTGCAAGACCATCAAGGCAATCTGGTGCAAGACATGGCTCACTTACGGGAACATAAGGGCTCGGCATTCCTCCCAAATGTTACAGCCACCTCGACAAGAGGCCATGGATTTTTTTTGCTGAAAATGCAGAGAAAAGTAAACTTCTAAACCTAGCACAAGTGCAACCCTAATCCTTAAGTCAAAACTACTCCAGTGTCTTGCTTTCTGGAAACCCTACTCGTGGGGTTTACCTGGAACATACTGTCACCGAAGCAGAGGTAGCAGAGGTGGCCTCACCTCCCAGCAGGTGACAACCAAAGCTGGGTGGCTGTGGTCTCCTTGACATGGAGCAGCTGCACCTGCTTCACTCACTCCTTCAGCTGCGCCCCACGCAGATGCACATGGCAGGATCCCAGTCCTGGGCAGCTCTCCAGCTCCTTTTGCAGCTACTCTAGATAAACGACTTCTCAGGTTAGGAAGAATACACAGACAAATATCCGCAAGGTAAAGTCTCCCTCCACGGCTGCCACCACCAACCAAGGGCACCCCCAGAGCTCTGCTCGAAGGAGCCATCAGATGCCTGGCACCACGGCCGAGCTGCTGGCACGCACATCAGTGGGATCACAGCCACGCACCCACTACCTCAGCAGTCTGCAGTGCAAGCGAGCTGCTAAAACACTAATACCAGAGTCGCAGATACCTTGAATCATTTTTCAATTGCCTTCTCCAAACAGATCAAATTCAACCTCACCTTTAAGAAAAAAAGTAAGCCAAGGCTTTTCAAATGAACCCATAGTTCAGAATCACTTCTGAAAGCCTCAGTTGCCTGTGGCACCAGCAGGGCTTTTTTCAAATCCCTCTTTCTCATCCTTCCCAAGATTAGCTCCATCCAGCAGGGCCAAGGGGCAGACTGCAAGAACCGCCAGTGCAATTCCCTGCACTGCTGCACAGACGAGGGAATCTGAGGAGCCCTCAGCTTCAGCACAAGGAACATCAAGGCCCTGAGGTCACCTTCGTCCCTGCAGTCCGTTTCACTCACCTACTGTCCTCAGAGGACCTTCTCCATCCCTGGGGATCCTGCTGTGCAGCAGCGAGGTCCTTCTCACATCCCGCCATGCTGAGATGGGTTTTGGCCCTTCCACTTTTATTGGTGTCCTCTGTTCACACTGACTTGCCCGTGCTGCCTGAGCACCACCTGCACAGCACCTTGCCCTGTCATCTCTCTGCCTAAGGTGGCTGCAAGTATGCAATAAATGAGCAGGACTAAATCCCTTGGGTCCCTTACTGGGGTGTTTAGCAGGCACGAGACTGCAGCACTGATCACACAACCTCCTGGGCTATACTAACTCAGCTATGCTAACCAGAAGACGGCTGGATTAGGGTAGTATTTCATCTCTGAAAGGAGTTGCTCATTATTTTCCACAATGATCTCATCTCAGAATCCATCATTTGCTTGTTCAGTTGTTTTTCTTTTCACTGCAGTATCCATGGCTCAGATTGTGAGCTGCGATAGAAAGGCTGATGTGACTTAGCCAAACTGACAGGGGGTGTCTGAAGAAGATGCACGAGTCAGCTGCAGTTCAGTGACAGCTGCTCAAGTTTATCAGGCAGGCAGAAGAGCCGAAAATGCTCCCCCTAACTGCAGGGCAGACTCCCCCAGTGGGCATCCAAACCATGCCCTGATGTGATACTCATTCAAATCCCAAGTTACACTCGGATCACAAAGCCTACCCAGTTTCCAAAAGCCAGCTTACAACAGGTTACCAAGAGTTCTGCACTCAAAAATCTTTTATTTATAATAGCTACACAGATTTTGCAAACTTACCTCCCTGTTACTGAACAATGCTGAGTTTTAAGTTGTAAAATTATACTCATCAATTCTTCCTGCGCCATTGTACATAAAGGAACACGTTTGGTTTCCATAAATTACATGCAGAAAGTGACATGAAATATGGTGACGAACACTCAAAGCTGACATCAAACAAATAAATGATCTTGTTTCAAGCCCAACCTGTTCCCTGGGCACGTGTTTTAACGCAGCGCAGGAGTTACCAAACACCCATTTGTGATAATGAGAGGTGTCATTCCTGGGGACGCCTTACAGACAAAGCAGGTCACCCGCTGCTACCGTGCCGAACTGGCAGCACAGTTCATTATTAGAAGACACCTTCAGAAAATATATTTCTCATATCTGGTTTTCAGATCTACCCACAGGTAACCACTTGAGGAAATGAATGAAGATGTGGTGTGGTCTACTGGCTTTGAACTAAGTGCCTGCTGTAGAAATGAGCTAAAACATTTTTATCTAAATAGAGGTAAAATATTTTAATTTGTTTTTCTAATCACTTGAGTAACTTCATCTTCATGAGAAGAAATGCAACATTTTCCCCCCTTAACTGTACAATATAGTATTTTTAGCTGTACACATACAACTGAAGAAAATTTAGCTAACTTGACCAAATCAGCTCAGAGGTTTAAGTCCATTTAAATAATGGACAAGTGGCATTTAGCATCCTACCTACCGAATTTTCATTTTAAAATTGAACACGGTTTTGAAGTAAACAAATTGCACTGTCCAGCACAAGCACAGTACCCCCAGGTTTGTTTTTCAACACAGACAACGAGGCAGCTGTCCTTTAATAAAGGAAATATTTAACCCTATTTCCATTACATGGACAGAAGTTGGCATGGCAGGGAATCCAGTATCCAAAATACCTCGACATCGAATTCCACTAGTGACTAATACTGCTAACATAAGCTGCATCAACTTCAGCATCATGCAAGATGACCTACAGCGTAAGAGACAAACGATGCTTTATACAATTACACTACTGCAGCTGCAGATGTTCCAGCTCCTGATCAATATCTTGCAAAGATCGTGTCAGCCACTTCAGACATCTCTGCGTTACATGTACAGTCGGGCTTGTCTTGCAGCAACTTGCCCAGTTTAAAAAAAACTGTCTACTCTCATTTTTGTCGTAGCAAACATAAGTCAAGGAACATGGCAAATATGATTCTACATGTAGGGGATCTAAAGTGACTCAGTAAAATGCTACCAACTGCGTGCTGTCAATGCAAAAGACAATTGCCCTCTCATTCAGAGCACTGAGGTATGTTACTAAGAAATAGAGCAGAGCAACAGGAGTTGGGAAACACATCTGGCATTTTCTCCTTCTGCCAATTAGAGCCCTCTCGATTTCTGGAAGTGCAGCAATATTTCTCAGTCTCAAACTGAGAGCGGTCTCACAGATTCTTTCAACTTACTTCAGGGCTAAGGCAACACTAGAAAACGACTCAAAACATTTCTCAGTAATAAAAACAACAGTCTAGAGTGGTACTTCTCATTTAATGTGTGATTCTTAATGGATTTGAGTCGTGGTTTGTCAAATATTAATTGCTGACTTTTTACCCTTTGAAAAATACTTTTGTCTGAATCATAACATGAGAAATACAAGATGGAAAACATATGACAGAACTAGTAAAGAATTTGTCCTTTCAGTTGTACAAAGAACTGAAGTTTCCCACAAGCAAACCGATATTCTACCCATGTGCTTCTGAAAGAGACAATCTTGTAAAGCTTTGTAGCCGCTGGTACTAAAACCCAGTGCCTTCCAAGTCACGGTAACTTTTCTTCCTTATCTGGAAGCCTTCCTTATGCTTTAATGATTAAACCTGCTGTTCTTGTACTAAGTCACAGAAGGATTGGTTACTGAAGCTACAGGGAAGGTTACTGCTTTAAGGTTACTTGCTTTTCAATTTTAATTTTCAATTTTTCAATTTCAATTCTAACAGATTCAATGTATTTAATTCTAACATTTTTTGAACCATGTTTGCCAAGCGCCTGTGGTGTAACCCTGGCCCAGAGCATCACACTGCCTCAGCACAACTCTCTGCCTCCCACAAGCTCTCTGAACACAGCAAAGGCAGCTTCTGGGTTTCCCCTGCCACCTGAGCCAGCGTGGTGGCTCCCAGCACCTTCCTTGTACCCAGCCCCAGCTGCCGCCTGCTTCTGAGGCCATCCTACCACAGCTGGGAGCGGGAGGGAAGGTGGAAGGCAGCATCCATCCCCAACGAGGGGCAGCGCGTCCCCGAGCAGATGCAAGCTCTTAAAATAAAGCAAAGCAAGAACAGCTGCAAATACCGTAACGACAAAGCAAACAAGAGTCCAGATGAATTGTACCGACTTGACGGCAGTCTGACAAAGCGTTTTGATCTTCGGTTTTAAATCACTGTGATTAAATTAATCTAAAATCAACTTGCACTGTATTCATTTAAAACAATTTTCAACTGGTGCCACTAAACTGATACAAATGCAGTTTGTTTTCTTACCCAACAGCGTGTGCTTTGTTTCTCAGCTACATTTCACAAGGCTTAACTACTGCCACACTGCGCCTTCCCTCTCAGCCCCAGCTTTGTACTCCTATCCCTGTGGAAAGCAAACAACCTGCGGGACAAATGGGCGATGAGACTCGCAGGAGACAGAGCCCCCAAAATCTGGCCAGCTTGCTGAAAGGCTCGGCAACCCTGTGGAAGAGCACCCTGTAAGCCAAGGAAGCTAAAGAGGCCTTCAGGGGGCCCAAATTTTGTATCTGTGTCAGATCCAGCGATCAGTGCTTCAAACCCACGCTGTGTCTGCAGGAACCTGAGGCACAAACTAATCCAGGCGGCTCAGCAAACGTGAATCACGCAGGGTGCATGCGAGCCCTGCCCGCAGGTCTCTAAACAGGGAGGGACAAGCCCGCTGCACGCAGCAGGAACTCCAGGTGTTTGCAGCGGGCGCACGAAGAACCATCTTGGGACTCCCCTCCCTCGCTACAAAAGGTGCTAAGTTACCTGCATTTGGGCATATCCTGAAACCATGAAACAATCATCGCGTCAATCACCCAGGGTGTGCAAACAGCAATGCCTTGCTGTGTCTGAAGAGACAGCTGCCAGCTGCTCACAGCCTTCTGTGGGAGCACGGGGAATGCTGAAAGGAAAATTACAGGGATGAACAAGTCCTCTAAGGCTGCTGCGGGGGCAGCCCTGCGCTAATATCCTGGTAACCTGGCTCATGCTGCCCATTTCAAGCGAGGGTGGGCTGTGGAAACACAAGGTGAAGGGAAAAGTTCGCCAGGAGGGATTAAAACCCCTGACACTCGCAGTGCTGCTGAAGCAAGGTGGGTTTTTCTCCCCAGTGACGCTTCAGCACGCTAAGTGCAGGCAGACAACTGAAGCAGAACTTGCAAAGACTGGGCTGTACTCAGGAGGAAACGTTACGTGACTTATTTTCAAGATGCTTTCAGACAGCACTCAAGCTGTTTACTGAGCAGCCTGCTCAGCCATTTCATCAGAGCGGGCCACCCACATCTGGCCCAGCACAAGTGCATATGTGCAAGAAGAATCCCCGACAAGCAGGGTAACCTTTGTAAACCAACTGACCTTCAGCAAGCAAACGCTCCCCTTTTGCACCGTGTTTATAAGGAGAAAAATCTCATCAGATACACAGAGTCTTACAGGATTTTAAATCACAGAAGATACATTGCTAACAGCTTCCAGACCAATAAGTGTGAAATAAGTTTAAAGAAGTGAAAATTTCTTCTTCTGAAGCATGTCAATATTCAAGCATTTATTTTAGTTCCAGTTTACAGAAAAATATCAGTACCAAACTGTTTACATGCCACACATACACCTAATTGGTTTCAGCCTGGCAAGGGCGCCTGAGCCCCCCGAGGAGCACTGGCAAGCCAGAGAAGCCAGGCTGATCATTACAGGGGCTGCCGGGCACTGCCAGCAAACAACAGCCACATGTATGTGACCTGAAAAATGTGTTTTGCTCCCATTTCCCTTTTCGCAGACACAGAATGAAACCCAACAGCAACTACATTTCACCTTATTTTTTTTCCCCCAAACCTACAATTTATTCATGGAAAAATACTTGCAGGCGATCTCTCAGGTTTCAGAGCAGGGAGAACAGAGAGGCAAACAGCCTACAGGCACAAGAAATGCAACAAGGCTACATCCAGCGCCGGAGAATAATCAGCAGGGTTAAGTCAGTTCAGAAAACACAGCCTGGACTAAGCAACGGGACCGATGCCTTCACCTGTGGCTGCTGTGGGGTCTGATTCCAGGTGTCTCCGAGTCAAGCAGGTGTCATCAGCAGCTTGTTGTCACCTCGCCGTGTGGGCACACTGCACTTCCATGTGGCACTGAAAGGAGCACGCTCTTCTGGAGATGGGAGCACGCAGGATGAGCAGGGCTCAACTCCAGAGGGGCACCAGGGGCCTGGAGGGCGGTGGGAACAAGAGCAAGGGTAACAGAGCAGATCACAGGGGAACTGAGCTCGGCTGGGGCTGTTGGGGTATTTATGGAACATACATCGAGGGAAATCACTCTTCGTCTCTGTGAAAGGCACAAAAGCAACAGCTCGAGACTGTCTCCAGAGTAATTACCAGCCAAGACATTCCCTTCCCTGAAGCAAGGGTTCAGACTGCTGCCATCAGGAGACAGGAAGCTTGCCTACAGATTAAAAAGCACATGGCAATTAAGATCACATGCAATATTAGGCTAGAGGATGAACGGCATAAACAGTACTCCTTGTACAGTGAATTAAACTGCAGTTCATTGCCAGCTGCAGACCTCAATGCCATTTCTGTAACAGAGACGGCTTTTCTCACATGAAAGCAACTCAGCTTCATGTCTGCAAGTTGCCCAAATTTAACCGCCACAAGCCTCGGAGAGGGCAGAGTGCTGACCTCCAGCAGCTCTGCTCAGCACAGCACGCAGCCTGAGGGCACCACCAGGTTGCCATCCCTTTTCTCCTGTCCTGGTGACACCCACAGCAACGGGAGGTGCTGCTCCTTCACATATACTTGGACTACTCCAAGGCTAGAGGAGGTTAGGACCTGGTTATGTTGCATCCTAAGTCACTGTAAGAAACACAGAACAAACTAACCCCAGTGCCCCCCCTAAAGCTCCCCAAACCCAAACGACTCATTATGGACGTGACTTTAAAATGACTTCCACGACAGCTCAGGAGTTACCAGGCAAACAACAACCAACTCCATGCACCTGCAGGGAAGAGAAGCGTGATCCCTCAGCTATATCCTTCAACTATTTTTGAAGTCTGTTTCGCATAAGTGGTCAATTTCAGGCTTCAAAGCTGTCATCAGGTGTAAGGTTTTAAGAAGCCAAGAAAAATACCACCTGCCATTCCTTTTTGCATTTCACTTGGCCTGCTTATCTACCACCATAACCTCACGGTGCAGCTTAGGAACAAGCAATTGTAAAACCTCACATGAATTGCAAAGGGACAAGCTAGGTGTAACAGCACGTTAGGCAGCAGTGGGACCTCCAGTAATATTGGGGGGTGCTGACTCTCAGCTCTTTTACCAAACAGCAAAGCAGCCCAGACCCAACCTGGGGAAAGGAAGATATTCCTGTCTATGATTTATTAGCTGCCCGTGCCCAGTTGTGCAGTAAAACTTCCTGAGGAGGAACGGCAGCCCATAACCTCCAGCTATCTGTCTGGGCAGCGCAGGGATGAGAGATGAAAGGCTGCCTCCACACAGAGCACGGGTCACCAAGGGGGCAGTTATTGTCTGGCTGTCCTGCCCTGTCAGCTCTGGACAAGCCGATGGCATCACCGCTCGGCGCTGCACGCTGCTGCTGCTCCTTTTCACACACCCTGCACTCTGGACATCACTCAGATGCTGACCAAGGCATTTAGGATCCAGGTCAGCCACAGGTTACAAGAGGGAAAATGCACGCTGAGTGACATTATGGTTTTGATGCACCCCTGATGCAGCGAGCGTTCAGAAGCCACCAGAGAGTTAAACCTGCACCAGACCTCACCGGCTGCTGCCCATGCTGCTGGACCAAGCAGGGAGGAGCTGGTAACAACCTGCACCCCATAATGTCAGATAGGCCGGCCCTAGAGCAGGTGCTCGGCGCGGCACTGGAGCTGGCTGTACAAGCAAGCTGGCATTTGTTTGCAGCCCTCTTCTCCGCTAACCCCTGTGGGCCTGAGGTCAAAAACAAAGGGAACACCTGCACTCCGCATCCCAGACCAATTTTACTCAGTGCAACGGGATTACCTGACAGGCTAAAAACACAAACGAGATGGGTGATGTTCAGATACAGCCCTAATACTCCAGAGAATATCATTTAAAAACTGCTCACACAAGCAGCATTAGCAGATAACTTAGCTCATAGAAACTTTTTCCATCCCCCAAAGCCAATACCCAACTTACCAAGTTCCTAAACAGCTGCCATTCAAGCTGTACCTGGCAAATGCACAACACCCCGAACCAGGAAGCACATCCCAGTTGCTGAAGCAAGTCATAAGGCTTCCCTATAAATACTGGTGACAAGTCCCTCGGCTGTAGGCTTACCCCAGTGTCGTGGTTTAACCCGGCCGGCAGCTAAACACCACGCAGCTGTTCGCTCACCCTCCCCCCTCCCTCTCTGGGACGGGGGAGAGAAATGGAGAGTGAGTTGAGATAAAGACAGTTTAATAAGACAGGAAAATAATAATAACAAAAATAATAATAACAATAATAATAATAATGATACAATGGTGATAATACAAAAGTAATAGTATGTACAAACAAGTGATGCACAATGCAATTGCTCACCACCCGCTGACCGATGCCCAGCCTAACCCCGAGCAGTCCGGCCCCCTCCCCCCGGCTAGCCACCCCTATATATTGTTTAGCATGACGTCAGATGGTATGGAATACCCCTTTGGCTAGTTTGGGTCACCTGTCCTGGGTCTGTCCCCTCCCAGCTCTTACTGCACCCCCAGCCTGCCCGTTGGCAGGGCAGAGCAAAAGGCTGAGATGTCCTTGGCTTAGTATAAGCACTGCTCTGCAACAATTAAAGCATCGGGGTGTTATCAGCACTCTTCTCATCCTAAGCCAAAACACAGCATTCCACCAGCTACTAGGAAGAAAATTAATTCTGTGCTAACTGAAACCAGGACACCCAGGAACCCTTTGGCAGTACAGTGTTATTTATCAGCGTCACAGAGCGTTGGGTAAATAGTTTGCATTTCCGCAGGCCTTCTGTGCAGTGACGGATACACAAACTTCTCTTGCAGTTACACGAAGGGACTGGGAATTGAGATCGTCCCAAACTCTCAGAACAGTTTCCAGAACAGGTCCTGTTTGCATAAATGTTTGCAATGAAGATGACAGTTGGAGGAAAATGTATACATGTCTTCTTTACGCTTACCTAGGAATTTTCAAAAAATTCCTAGAACTGCATGAAAATTGTGACGTAGCAAACGTGAGTGTGCATGCCAACAGCCCTTGATGCTGACTCTTCAAATAAAACACACAACAGGTACAGAGAATTCAGCTGCTACTTAAACAGTGATGATTTGTCTGGCCTCAGCGTGGAAGGCAGGCGGCAGTGAAACCTCCTCAAGCACCAGGGAGAAGCTTTGGTGTTTCTCTAGTGCCGGCTACACCCACTTCAGAGCGAGTCTTCCAAAATCACTGCCTGGGGAGAGCCCACGACAAAGTCTGTCAGCAGCTTCGGGGGAAGAAGTAATCCTTGGTCTTGCCTGTGTTCTGGGAGACCAGACGCAGGTGGGACCTGACAGGAGCAGCACACTGCACTGCAGGCCCCCACCCTTACAGATGCTGTTCAAGCCTCCTGCGCCAACCCCTCAGAAATGTAGCTGAGGGATCAGCTTCTCAGAAGCTCCTCTAGCGCCAGATTCCCCTAGCTTTCCATGAGACACCCAGCTGTGGTACGGCTCAGAGGCTGCATCTCACCTGGCAAGCACCAGGCAGCTCAGTGTGCGCGCCTACACACCCGGTGGATTTTAACAGGTCACTGCAGTCACACACACGTATCAAGGTGGAAGAACTGAGCCAGAGAGCACACACAAATCCACTGAAGAACACAACTAACAAGCCATTAACTGCGCAGAGCTGTTGATTTGGCTTGGCATCCGACCAACTGAACTTCAGTGCACGAAGCTTAAAATGCCTCCAAGGGGTTAACTACAGAAGGTGTTCGAAAACCAAATGGCTGCTTTTTGTCATTGCCTTCCCAGGGCTGGAAGCTTCAGGCTGCAAACGTACAAGCACCACAGAAGCTGAGCAGCTAGGTCTTTTTGCCTCAGCAGCAACCCCTGTTCCATCCAGCACCATGAGATTGCACAGGACATGGGTTGTCTGCAGCACCCAGGTCAGACACTGAGCAGCTCTGACCCAAAACAAGAGAGCAAGCAGGCACGTAAGCACCTCGTGGTCTCCTACCACATGTATTTTTCCCATCTCCAGAGTGTAGATCACTGGTGAAGTGCTGTGGAGGACTCACATAACATGTCAGTGCCCTGTGACAGACCCAGAGGAACACCACAACATTGACGTACTGGAACTGAAGCATTCAACAGTGGAAAGGTGCAATAAAGAACAGGAGTGTTAAGGGAATATTTATTTGCTTCTTCTCCATACACACTCAGAAAAAGCATGAACATAACATTTCCTTTCTCGGAGGTAACAACTTACCATAAAACGAGTTTCCCCAGCAGGAAGGCCTCTGGAGAACAGAGAGTAGAATGAACAGCTCAGCTGTGTTGAGAGCAATCAGAAACAAAAGCTCTTAATACGAAGGAAAGAAAAAAGGAATTTGAGCTTAAGTGATGGACCTTCTCTTTGCAGTAGAGGAGGAACACTGCAATTTTCCTTCCACTTGATTTCTCAGACCTTTCACTCCCTTCTGTGGTAATTTATCAGTAGCTTGCACCTTGGTTATCTTTTGCAGTCTCAAACCATCAACACAGCAGTCTAAGGGCAACCAGACAAAACGTGTACCATGCTCCACAGCTGGGAGAATATCAAATCGGTCAGTTGGATCATTTTAAAGATGTCACAAGTGCTGTAACAAAAACGTGCCCCTAGCCCTTATTTAGGATCAAAGGGAGGAGATAACTGCCATCTCGATAGCAATGCCAGCGGGAAAAGCCGACACGTACTCACATTGATCTTTCCTCTAACACTTCTTCTAAAGTCTTCTTCTTTATACATTATAGCAGTCCTCCCATCCCCTTGAAATCCATCACGCAGTGCCCCGGAGCACCTGCACATGTTCTGCTTATAAATATAGGCAGGGTGAGCTAACCCCAAGCAGTTCCACAGCAGCAGCTCAGGAAGGATTACTTGGCAGACGAAGCCCTGTACTGGCATTAGGGACACCGCTCGGATCCCACCCGGTCACTAAGAACCAGACAGAGCCCTTCCACCTCCCAGCCTGCAGGAAAGCAGCCCTCACTCCTTATTGGGAGGGAGTGGATCCCAGCAACACCACTTCTAAAAGCCCTGGCAGCGTCTCTTCCCCTCTAAGTGTTATTTTGTGTTTTTTCTAATGAGATGATTTGCTGGCACATACTATGCATGCTATCATATGGATTAAGACAAATAAAGCAGCATATATCCATTTTCTCGGTGCTTTATTTTTTGGTCTGTTTTTAAACGAATCCCCCCCCCAAACACACCTTATCTTTCGTGTTTGCATCAGAAGCAGAATGTAGTAAAAAAATCTCTGGAAGCATGAGCTATCTACAACAACATCTGACACAACAAGGGAGCTGTAACAAGCCAAAGACCAGTAAATCTTAGTATCCTAAAGACACCCAGCTGGTTGCTCACAATTGCAGTTCTCTCTCACCTTGCCCATGCCCAACGCATCCTGTTCCACCACCCAAGTGCCATCAAGTAAGCTTTATAACCAATCATGTTAGCTTGGTTATGTATACAACCCTCTGACTCCTTTTGGCCAGGTTTGTGACATATTTCTGTTGTTTTCCTAAGAAAAGTTAGGTTTGCCCATTTCCCCAAGGAGGCTGCCTGCCGACTCCTCACAGTGCGGGAGTGGTTCTGACATCATGCTCCACCTTGCAGCTGGATCACAGAATTTCTAGGTTGGAAGACCTCAAGATCACCAAGTCCAACCTCTGACCTAACATCTTATCTAACACTCACAAGTCCTCCACTAAACCATATCCCTAAGCTCTACATCTAAACACCTTTTAAAGACCTCCAGGGATGGTGACTCCACCACTTCCCTGGGCAGCCTGTTCCAGTGTCTAACAACCCTTTCAGTAAAGAAGTTCTTCCTAACATCCAACCTAAAACTCCCCTGGTGCAACTTAAACCCATTCCCCCTCATCCCTCCTCACGCTCCTGGCCTCTCCCCCTCGGCGGGGAGCTCTCCGAGCCCTGCAGGGCAGGCAGCACAGCCCCAGCCGGACCCCAGCACGCTCCCACAGCCTGCTGGCACGGCCCCGCAGCCCTGCCCAAACACCAGGGCACCTTTGCCACCACCCAGCCCAGGCCTGGGCTCCACAGCACCTGCTGCCCCCCCCCAGGGATGCCCTGCCCATGGCTCAGCAGGCAGGGGGTGCCCCATGTCACAAAGGGGCAGGGACGGCCTCGCCCCAGAACGCTGGCCCCAGCGGCAGTTGGGCCCTGCCATGGCTGCTCGTGCTGATGGGGAGGCTGCTCGGCTGCCTGCTCCTCTCCTGCGGCTCCAGCCTCCGCTCTGGACACAAAGGCGAGCACAGCAACTCAGCTCCTCTCTCCTCAGGCCCTCACCTCAAACAGCTCTCAGCGCCCTACAGGACACTGACCGACCTCAACCACCGCACACTCCTGACCGCTCCTTTCCAGCACTGTGCCGGATAATTGTATACAACCTACGGGACAGGTAAGATCGCCCCAACCCTCACCCACCACGGTCCACAGTGAGGAGCCAGGTGAAACGAGCGGGCCAGGACGGCAGTGACCACTCCATCAGGACAACAAGACATGGACGGATGTGGTGAGACCTCGAGACCCTGGGCACAGAGGCAGAGGCTGCCTGTGGTCACAGGGGGATGCTGCTCCCTTTGGTGCTTCTTCTCTTTCAGACAGAAACACACAGCGATGGGACCAGTCTATGGCACAATCCTGGCAACTCTCCCCTTGAGAACTCAGCCGGAAAAGATGCCAACACGCTACAGGACAGGTAAGACAGCCCCAACGCATTCCCCACCACGGTCTCACCTCGCTAGGTGGGAACGTGACATGGTTGATCTACAATGAACATCTCCCGGGCATCAGGAAGATGCGAGATGGACGGCACTGTTGTGAGGCTGGGAGAGCCTCACACAGGGAGGAAGGGAGGGCTTCCAGTGCTGGCAGGGGGTGGCTGCTGGGTTTGTCACCTCCTCTATTACAGCTGGACACACTGACAGTGATGGAATGCAGCCACGGCACACACCTGGACTCTCTCCACCTGAGAACTCAGCTCGACAAGGTGTCAAAGCTCTCCAGGACAGGTAAGATGACCCCAACCCACACCCAACATGGTTTCACAGTGAGCAGGAAGGTGATACAATCAGGCTGGGACGGCAGTGACAGTTCCATCAGGACAACAGGACACAGACGGACGTGGTGAGCCACTGGA